TCCCCTTAATCCTCCCCTCTCTCTGTTAGTCCTTACTTGGAGTCTGTCCATAATGGGAAAAGGAATCTGAAATCTTTTCTAATATGGAATACAACCATGAAGTTTGCTGACTAAGAGCTCTTTTGGGGAGAAAAAATCAACTTTGGCCATTTTGAGGTGATTTGATGTGCTTGGTAATGGCCTTAATAAAGGTCAATAATAGACAACACCAGAGAACATTTTAAGTGGCACGAAAGGAGGAAAACAAACAAAAACCTTCCAATTCACAAATGTCAGTTATATCTGGACAACTGGGCATGGATCAGGCAGGAGAGACGGGGGCAACATTCCCCAGAGAGTTTGTCGACTATATTCTCAGACCTTCTTGTGGCTTATAATGTGACCACACCTGAACTTTATGTTTTCTGAGATATATTAATTTCTTGATAATGTCTCACAATTACTAGCTTATCAAAGACAATTCCAAACTTCCCATTCATCCTATGCAGCAGGGGTTCCCAGCCCTGGCTTTATATTGGGATCACTTAGGGAGCTTTACAAATTCCCGAGGCCCAGGCAGCACTCCAGGTCAATGAAATCAGAATCTCTGAAAGTGAGACACAGGCAGCAGGAGTGCGGAAAGCTGCCCAGGAGATTCCAAACTACAGACAAAGTTGAGAACCACTGCTATAGAGGATTCAGGGACAGTAGAAACGGGGAGCCAGTGAGATAGATAGAATGTCCCACAAAATCTGAGTGTGGAGGGATTAAAAGGATGGAGATTGACAGAGTTATCGGGTTTCAATGGCTGCGGCTTAGGCCCATTAGTCCCTGACAAATGATCAGCAGAGGCACAGTTTCCTTAAACTATATATTGATTGGATTTTGAACAGTTTGCCATTAATCTAAGTTTCATGACTGAAATTGACCAAAATATTATCGATTAACCTCAGAGGTCTTAAGAAAAGCCCTCTCTCCCCTAGCTCTACCAGGCTCAGGGTTGGTTGGACATTGGGTTCTGAGATAAGTCCTAGGTGTATGGTCCAGAAGAGGGAAGAAGCCCACAACATACCTTTGACTGTTATATGGAAAGTTACATTCAAGCAGGTGGTCTACAGCAGTGGACTGGCTCTGGGTTGGTGCTTTGTCTTTGCACTGGATCCTTCACCCCATGAGGAGGAACAAGGTGGAAGCCCTAAAGCAATGGTTCTTAAACTTATGTGACTATCAGAATCACCTGCAGGGTTGGTTAAACCACAGATTGCTGTGTTTCATTCCCAGAGTTTCTGATTCAGTAGGTTTGTGGTAAAACCCAAGAATTTGCATTTCTAACATGTTCTAAGAGATTACTACAATACTACTATGGAACCACACTTTGAGAACCACTGCTTCAAAGCATAAAACCCAGAACAGGACAAGCTCTAGAAGAGGTACACCAGACTTTATTAGGATTCCTTTGTGCCCTGTAAGAAGTAACAGAATATGATCCTGAAATGAGCTGGGATTTATTTCTATGCATTTATCAAAAGTGTGAGAGCTGATTTCTGTTTAAGTGATTACTCTATGAAAGCAGACAGGGGGCCGGGCGCGGTGGCTCAAGCCTGTAATCCCAGCACTTTGGGAGGCCGAGACGGGCGGATCATGAGGTCAGGAGATCGAGACCATCCTGGCTAACATGGTGAAACCCCGTCTCTACTAAAAAGTACAAAAAACTAGCCGGGCGAGGTGGCGGGCGCCTGTAGTCCCAGCTACTCCGGAGGCTGAGGCAGGAGAATGGCGTAAACCCGGGAGGAGGAGCTTGCGGTGAGCAGAGATCCGGCCACTGCACTCCAGCCTGGGTGACAGAGCCAGACTCCGTCTCAAAAAAAAAAAAAAAAAAAAAAAAAGAAAGCAGACAGGGTTTTAAAAATAGATATGCATTTGGGTTGTTTGTCCCAATGCCTTGCATTAGAAATTTGTAATATTTAAATTGGATTTAATTTTAGAGCCTCAACCTTCATTAGCATGAGACTAAAAACAATGACAACAATATCTACAAAAATCTTTTTGAGTTTCATTATTGTGGACAGAGAATTTCTTTCTGCAGTAGTAAACTGCTTATATCAACACAGAATAAGACAAGGCCAAAGGCATAGGAAATGCTGGACACAATTTCAAATATAGCAATCAGATATCCAGATGAGATTGGCAGGAGACCCTGGCCCTGGCGTGCACCAAGGTGACTTAGTCCAGAAATTGCAGATACAGGGCCAGGGAATCTATTGTGGTTGGCTTACAGTAGATACCCTAAGAATGCAGATCTTCCTAGGAATTGTGGAATTTTTTATTTAAACCAAACTTCCCTCTTCTTCTAGTCATCCTAGCTTGTAGTGGAATATCCAGAATATTTCCAGAGAAAGTCACTATTCCTTCTCTGGTTGCTCCACTGGTTAAAAGCGGAGGCTTTTTGTGTCCTATAGGAAGAAGTTCAGTGGGCAGGCCCCAGAAGGGTACTGCAAGTCTATTAGCACCTCTTTATGTGTAAGGCCCATTCTATACTCCTCTCCTCTCCCCTACTCCTCTTGCAATGCCATGGTGGACCTCCACCCAGTTCTTGAACTCTGGGACCTTTCCTTCCCTTCTTCCCTAATGAACTCTTATTCATCCTTAAGAACCCTGCTCAGATGTTACCTCCTCTATGAATATGTCTCTAACCAGTCTGGCCAGATAAAATCAATTTCTCCTTCCACTGTGCTTCCATATCATGTCACATATACATCATACTGATCGCACTGTACTTTAAATGTTTGTTTATATGCATGCCTTTTCCTATCTCTAGATTACTTGCTCTAGGAAGTTAAGTATTATATCTTAGTCTTCTTTGTATCCCTAGCACCTGACACCTAACACAGTGGCCAGCACAGGACCTGCAAGTTTAAGTGTTTAATCAATGAAATAAATGAATCCCAATTTTGGGGTGAGAGAAAGTACTACTTAAGCATCTAGTAGCAATGCAGCCTGGAAAACAATCAAAGTCATGGAATCTCAGATGATCAGAGCCAAAGAGGACCTTAGCTCTCGTCTGTGCCAGCTTCTCATCCTATAGAGGAGAAAGCTCAGAGATGAACTGAATCTCCTTCTATAGAGGAGAAAGCTCAGAGTGAACTGAATCAGAATGCAGGTGTGTGGGTTCCAGCCTGCAACCTTTCAGGTTTAGCCAAACACCCAGATGAAGGGTTTATGGACTAGACGAAACCGTCTTCCCATGACTAATGGGACCAGATAATATCCACCTCTTACCCTGGGGACATGCCATTCTCCCTCTCCCATGCTAAGTCCAATCCTGGGAGAGCATGAAAATGTTCTTCGTCACAGAATGTAACCTTTTAAAGAGTGTCTGAGTATGCATTTTCATCACTAGCCTTCAACCCCAATTGAGTATTGAAAGGTTTTTCTTGTTCTTTCTGGGGCAAGAAGACTATTTTGAGCAGGATGGGAAACGAATAAGAATGGAGACATCCCAGGGCTTAATTTCATGATTTCTAGTGGCTTGAAGATCACTTCAGAGGCCCTTGCTACCTCCCCTGTTCTCCAGCTCCTCTTCGTGGTTGGAGTTTGGGGACCCGTGGTGGCTTCTCTGACATTTGCTTTCATAACACAAGCTGAGAGGGAGTTGGATGAAGCTATGTGGTGGGGATCCACGCTGGACAAAGATACCACAGGGAGAGGAATTTTTTGGAGTTGAAAAGAGACTATGGACAGGAAGGTTAAGATGTCATTCTAGAACTTTATTGGGAGGGCTTCTCCACCCTACAACAAATTCTGTCATAGACATAATCATTCATTCATTTATCCATAAATATCACCCTCCTGTTCAAAGCCCTCCACTCCCTTCCTAATGTCCTGAGGATAAAACCATAACTCCGTGCTGTGTCTCTGTAGACCTGGCTCTTTCTGGCTCTCTAGCTCATTTTCTAGGTCTCATTCCTTCATGCTCAGAACCTTTGTCTTGTTTCTATCTCAGGGCCTTTGCACTTGTTCCTGCTGCCTGGAATGTTCTCTTCCTCATTCCTTCTCATCCTCCAGATCTTAGCTTGATGGCCATCTCCTCAGAGAACTCTTCGCTGAGTGTCCCGTCTACAGTGGCCCCTCGATACCTCCTGCAGTTGCCCTCTATCATCAGACCCTGTAATTGCCTTCATGGCATATAACGAATCTGGAGATATCTTGCTTATTTAGACAAGGCTGTAAGCCCCCTGAGAGCAGAGGCCTTGTTTGTCTTATTTACTGCTGCTCAACACCAAAAACAGTGCTTGGCACATAGTCGGTGCCCAGAAAATATTGTGAATGAATGAAGCGCCTACATAGATTAGGTTATAGAGGTGAGAAGAGAATAGAAAGCTTACATTGTTTCTAGAAACTACAGCCTAAAATTGATTTTTTAAAATTGTATCAGCTCCATAGCTTCCAATTCTAAAACCTGCTTTTCACTGTGGTACTCTGAGATTCCTGTTTGATTCTGTGAGAGCTCCATGCTCTCTCTCACATGGTCAGTCTGTCTTATCTGTCACCATTACTCATCTGCATTTTTATCAAAGCACCAACTTGCTCTGGATTGTCAGGGATTTTGCATCTGTATAATGTATTTTAGACTGGTTCAGAGTTGGATCTACTATGTCTGCATGTGTCAGGTACTGAACAATTTCCATTTTGATGCCAGATTAGGGATCTGCTGGGGCAAGACTTTGGCATGTGTCTAGAAACACCTGCACTAGGTGCAAGATCAGCCATGGACAGTGTCCAGACTGAAACCAAAAGGTATGGCACAAGAGTGAGAGGCAGGTGCCACTACAGGACTATGAGAGGCCAGACCCCGGTGAATTTCGGTAGCCAAATTCTAGCTCCTTCCTGGGCCTTGATGCTGGTAATATCCCAGAACTCAAGGAAATGGAATTTGTCCTATTGGCACATGCCTCCCCACTGTGTAGGGCACAGGGAATGTGGTGAGGTACCAGTCTAATGCCAGCTCTCCCCCTCCACAGAGTTTTGGTCAGTGGTCGTGCAGTCCAAGGGGCTGGATGGCATGCTGGACCCAAGCTCAGCTCAGCGTCCGGACCCAATAACAATTTTACCAAGGGAGCAGCTTTCTATCCTGGCCACACTGAGGTAAGTGCCTAAGGGGCCTTGGCCTTGCCGAGGTCCTGCCTCTGCAGCTGCCAGAAGCACGGGTCCCAAGTGACAGAACCTGAGAAGGCAAGTCAGATTGAACTGCTGAGCAGCAAGGGCCTGGAGAAGCTCTCAGTGATGCAGCAAATGCAGCCTGCCTAGCCCAGGAGAGAAAATCTTTTGTGCCCTCAGGTTGGCCCCATGGCCCCCAGGGACATATCAGGAGTCTGAGCTGCATCAAGGGTCTAAAGTCACCAAACACAGGACCTTGAATAGCCAGTGTCAATCAGACCCTCCACACAACTCTCTGGTCCGACTGAGCAGGGAGCTTGTGAAATGGAAGGTTCACAGCCACTCTTTGTGCCCTTGGCTAGTGGAGTGGAGGGGTGTGGAAGAGTTCCAGATCTGTACACAGGTGGTCTGGCTCTGAGTTCCATTTCTGTTTGGCGTGTACCTGTGATACAATTACTTAATCTTACTACATCTCTGGCTTCTCATTGTTAAAATAGGAATGATATGGCCAACCTCCCAGGTTTGTGTAGTGGTTAATTAGAAAATTATACCCAATAAATAATAATTATTACTATCTCAGCTCATTCATGTCAAGGTATGTCTCTAAGAATTCAGATCAGTTGATTTGGTTCCCATTTATGTATCCAGTACACCTGCCCTCCAAGAACCCAATGACCCCACAGGTGCCGGTACTTGCTAGTGCTTTCTGGTTGCATATTTCTATCATGGGCATTTTAAGTGCTTTTGGATAAAGTCTATATGGTGCCCAGAAATCCAACAAAGCAGATGTGAAACAATTCAATATCTAAATATTCCCTAATATCTGGATTTGTGGCATCAGGAAGGTAAAACTTATAATCTGTTGAATGGAATTTTCATTTCGATGTTGGGGGATGAGTAAACTCACCCCAGCACCTATCAGTTACAGTGTGCATATGGCTTCAGGCCTCTCTCCTCTAAAAGATAGCAAGGCTGAGCTCAAGTCAGGTGTCCACAGACTGGCCCTGCCACTCACTGGCTGCAAAAACCCAAGTCACTTAGCCTCTCCAAGGCTCATTTTCGTCTTCTACAAAGTTAAAGAATTAGGCTAGACTTGTGGCTCTCAAAATGTGGTCCACAGACCAACTGCATCAGCATCATCTGGAAACTTATTAGAAATGTAGATTCTTAGTGTCCTCCTACCAGAGCTACAGAATCGAGCGTTCTGAAGATGGGGCGCAGCAGTCTGTAGTGTAACAAACTCTCCAGGTGATTTTGATGCCCTGAAGTTTGGGAGCCTCTGGACTTGAATCTCTGATATACCTTCCAAGCCATGCCTCCTCCCAATAAATCCTGTCTGGGAGATACTAACAGAGGCTCTGGATTTTACTCTGTCGATGCCTCTCTCTGTTCAGCCCAGCCCAGGACACCTCTGAAGTACCTTGCTGGGGAAATGAGAAGTCACAGAATTCCTCTCACTCCGACCCCCAAGAGCATTCGAGCCTTTACAACTGAAGACAGCAGCCAGTTAACATTTAGAGTGAAGGTCAAGCGTAAAACAAGAAACGACCCTTGACCCACTCTCGGAATGTGGCGAATGAGATGGAGGAGGAGGAGGCTAGATTTCCTTGGCCACAAGAATTTCGTCTCTCGCCAACTGTTAGTGACCCGGGTTCATGTATCCCATCTCTAGCCCGAGAATCGCTCGCAGCTCTTGGCATGGCTCTGTCCAAGGCAGGAATTCTCTCACTCCCTTCTACAACACATCTCCCCAGGCACGGTTGCCAAGCCTCCCAGTGCCGTCAGCCCTCCTAACCACAAATATTTGGGCCAGTTGCTTAGCTCTGTCCAGCAGCTCCATCACCTATTCAGGTGAGGCCAGAATCTTTGAAGATCATTCACCTAGTGCAAGAAATGTATCCTATTACTGGAGTGTGTGAACCACTGGAAATCCACAGAATGTACCGCTGGTTCAGAAGAGGGCAAGGGAGCGGGGCACCCCATCAGTGGCTGGTTGTAAAGGCATCCCGATGGGCCACCCCACTCTTAGTCATGGATCTTCCATTCTAGGTAGGAGGAAGACAATTAAAGACCATTCTCACATTAAATAGAACATGTTTGTTCATGTGAGCCCCTAATTGCATCCTCCCCATCTGATCATTCAGCTTGCAGAGCTCTGCTTAGTAAAGCCACACAGAAGGCTGTCATCTGTTCAGGAGAAAAGCTTCAAAGGGTGTTTAAAAAAAAAAATAAATAAAACTTCTCCTCTGGTTCACATCAAAAATAAAAAGAATGTTCTTTTCTAAATGGTGCATTATATCACTAGAATAGAGAATGCACTCAATTTTTCTTTTATCTATTGATCATTTTTTAAAAGAGAGTTTTTATTTAAAAACTTAAAAGTTTATAGGAACACACTCTCATGAGTGAATTAAATATATATTTTTTTAAAACTTTAAACCTAAAATCTAAATGAGAGATATATTTGAGACATATTCAAGTCTTAATGAAACAATCTGCCTTTGATACAAATCTCCATTGTGATTAAATGTGATACCATTTGGTATCTTGACTGTGAGTGGAAAGGTAGTGTTAGAGTTTAGGAACTTCGTGAAGCCAGTTCAGTCAAAACAGCAGATGCAAGGCAGAGTAGAAAACTTTGTAAGTGCCTAAAATGAAAGAATATACTAGTTGGAAGATACCTTAAACATCATCACACAGATGGAGAATTAAGGAACACTGGAGGCAGGAGACTTGTCTAGGTACTCACAGGTTCTTAGAGGTGGAGTTACCTAGGAGTTCTAGGTCACCTGGAGGCAACAAAGATGAGTAGGACACTTTGCTGCCTACAGGGAGTTTGTCCTCTAGAAGGGAGGGTAAGAGAATCCAACTGCCCTAAGAGAATATAAAGGGAAGGCTTTAAGAGATAGAGAAGGAGCCGGGCATGGTGGCTCACGCCAGTAATCCCAACACTTTGGGAGGCCGAGGGGGTGTGGATCACGAGGTCAGAGATCAAGACCATCCTGGCCAACATGGTGAAACCCCGCCTCTACGAAAATACAAAAATTAGCCAGGTGTGGCGGCATGTGCCTGTAGTCCCAGCTATTCAGGAGGCTGAGGCAGGAGACTTGTTTGAACCCAGGAGGCAGAGGCTGCAGCGAGCTGAGATCGAGCCAGTGCACTTCAGCCTGGACGACAGAGTGAGACTCCGTCTCAAAAATAAAACAAAACAAAAGAAAAAGAGACACACAGAGAGAGAGATAGAGAAGGTAGTTTGTCTCGGAATTAGAAAAAGCTCCCCAGGGGAGGCAGCACTGAAGTTGTTGAAGGACAACAGGAGGATTCCACCAGCAGAGGAGGAGAGCAGAAAAGGCCCTGGGAGGGTAGGGGAGTACACCTGGAAGGGAAGAGTCTGAAAAAGGGCAGTGGTGGGGAAGCCCAAGCAGGAACTGCCCCCAGGAGTTTTGTGCGCCGGGAATGCAAACTATGTGAGGGGAGTAGAAGGAGGCAGGATCCCACTGCCAGGCAGAGCAGTCCCTACTGGCTTATAGACAAAGGACTTGGCACCGGTTCCTTTGAGCAGGGTGATATGAATCAGAGCAGGTTTTAAGAAGCTAAATGGGGTGGCCAGGGATAGAAGGCATTGGAAGAAGAGAGATGAGGGTCCAGGACGTCAGGTGGGAGACTGTTCCCATGACCTGAACTAGGGGCCCAGAGATGAGAATGGAAGGGAAAATACAGTTTCAAGAGAATGCTACCAAAACAGAACCAAAAAGGCTGGATGGAGGTCAGGGATGAAAAAGCAGAGGGATAAGCAGAGGTATAGAGCTAATGGATGAATGAATGATGGTTCCAGTAACAGAAAAAGGAAACTGTGAAGAAGCGTGTTTAGGGAGATGAGGAGAGAGGATCAAAAGAGATGGCAGCTGGGAAACTAATAATCAAATGATCCAAAATGGGTCTGTTGCTGTTGTATGCAGAGAAGGAAGATGGGGAGAAGATGGTCCTAATTAGGATTATGAGTATGGAGATTTTCATTTTGGATGTCTTGCATTTAAAATGCCAGTATCTATGGAGAATTGCCCTCAAGAAGCTGGAAGGCAGAACTAGCTTCAAAAGACTAGTTGATTAGAGATCCAGGTATGGGAGTCAATTGCACAGAAATTTCAATGGTCTCCTTAGAAGAGGATGAGCCCACCAAAGGGGAGACCATGAATGAAGTGGGAACTTAGGGTAACGGGGAATAGGGAGAAATATGTCCCTTATGTCCATTGAAACCTTTTTATTTAGTTATTTTCACTTTCCCCTCAAAATTCTAACAAGTGTTACTAATTTGGATATAAGGGGATGAATTTCAGTTTTCTTTCTTCTCCTTTAATCTATCTGATAAGAGATATTATGTACCGAGAAGAACAAAGAAATGAAACATGAAAACGAGCAAAAGTAAAGGGTTTAGGTTTGCTGCCAACTGAATATTCAGTCCTCTAAGAGTTGTCCAGACATTTATCTGCAAGACCATTAGCCAACAGATCTGGTAATGGTCAAAACCCCAGATATGCCATTGCCTCCTTTGCATGGTCAGCTGGAGAATTGGAGCAAACAGAAGCATTCTTCAAAGAAACCAAAGAGAAAAGAATTTGGTGATTTCCTTCTTGGTATCTCACCAAAGAGCTGTCTATTTCCAGTTGAATAAAAGCACAGTATGGAAGAGAAGAATGTGTTGCCTTAAAACAGATTAGAAAAGCAGTGTGTAGCCATATGCACAAAGGCCAAAAGAAACCACGCACTGTGATGGAAAGAAGGCAGATGATGAGCTTCTCTTGCCACTCCCATTCATTCTTTCATTCATTTGAGTACCTACTACATGCCAGACACGACAACTGGCCCTGGAAATATTGAAATGCGTAATGTGCAGCTTCCAAAGCACTCTCAGGGAGACAGACAAGTCAATGATTATCCACAACCCTAGGAGAGGTGATAGGGTTATGTACAAACTGTTGTGGAATACAAGGCATGGAGTGCCCAGATACACAGGTGGATGAGACACAGCTCCACCCTCCAGTACCTCACAGTCAAGGTGAGACAATAAAAATGGCTTTGAAGGAGGTCTGAGAGAGGTAAACCCAGCAGTAGAAAACACAAAAGACAAAGTCCTTGACACAAGGAGACAGAATTAACTCATAATTTACACAAATTTTGTGAGAACCTACTTCATCTTAACAATGACTCTGGGAAATAGTGTTTCTTGCCCACGTCCGATCAATGAGAACACTAAGGCTCTGGGAAATTAAATGGGTTTCTTCTGCTAACAAGTAGTGGAGTAGGAATCCAAATAAGGTTTTCTAATCCCCAGACCCAATGCAGAGTTCTTGTCATTACACTGATTTAGAAGAGAACATACCACACACACACACACACACACGCACACACACATATGCACATACAATTATGCTATTCTGAAGTGCAGAATGGAAAGATATCATTTTTGATTAGAGTGGTCTGAAAAGCCTTCGAGGACTAGGTGATATCTGTGTGGAAAGGAAGTAGAATGACCCATGAGAGTGGGAAGGAGAGATGGGAGAAAGGATAGAATTGGAAGTTTGCAGAACACTCTTACAGGTGATATTTCTAATCCAACCAAGATCTATGGAAGCTTTACAGAGGAGCTGACGTTTGCTACACATCTACAAGTATGCACAGGAGAGCCACAGAGGCCAGTGAGAGGCCCGCTAGGAGCAGAACTAATTCTATAACTACTTGACCAAGTGGGGGGGATTATTTGTGGGGTAACTGCAGTGTAGTATAGAGTCCTCTTGGGGACAGATAGATCCATACCATTTGATCTATAGTCACATAAGAACAAATAATAAAAAGAAAAGACATGTTTAAGAGTGAAAGAGAAAGGGAGGGAGAAAAGAAGGAAGGGTGGATGGAAGGACAGACTGGCTTAGTAAGGGGTCAACTTTGGATTCTATTTCTGGTTCAGTTTTCATTTGTGACTTCAATGCTTTAGTGTTAGTTCATTTTCTGTGAATCAGTTTCCTTATATGTGAAATAAATATGATAAATCCTAATCGAACTCACAGACTCATGAGAAGATAGAAGTGAACACATTTTGAAAACATTACACAAAGAGGAACTATTATGTGGTCCACAGTTATATATGTGGGGTAGTGTCTGAAGAGGTGCCTGGACTAAGTTGGTCCCAGAGCCACAAGGTTTTTGCCAAACATGATGCTTTGTGAATTCATAACAAGGGCTCCGAGTCACCAGATCTTACAGCTGACCCAGTGCACTGTCTGAAAGGGGGTACCCAGTGCTGAGGCTTCAAGACATGTCCCCAGCAGATCTCCCCAGTGCCTTCCCAGAGGATTCAGAACTGCTGAGCAGGACAGCACCATGACATCAAGGCACAAGTGCCAGGGAGAGGTGTCAGACTCTCCCCACTGGCCTCCCTGGTACACACATGGACACTTACTACCTCCCTCAGCCTCCTTAAGCGTCAGAGAACCCAAAGGATTCTGCTTGATATTTCCAAGCTCATACTGAACTACTGGGCAAAATTCTAGGGGCTCTGTCCCTTCCTGGAGAAGCCTGGATGGGGAGACCACACATCCATACTGCCTGAGTCAGCCCGGCTTATGCCTGTTGTCCCGGTGTAAGCATTGCTAGCACACCCTTTCCCTCTCAGAAATGCCCCAGTTTGAATGAAATCTCTTTGTGATTCCCCGTGGGAGGTCAACTCTGAGGGACCCAGAAACTGCCTTTTGACTGCATTTAGTACTCCATGGAGTCACCCTCATTTCTTTTTCATTCCAGGTGCATAGCGTAATGTCCATGTTGTTCTACACTCTGATCACAGCTTTTCTGATCGGCATACAGGCAGAACCACACTCAGAGAGCAATGTCCCTGCAGGACACACCATCCCCCAAGCCCACTGGACTAAACTTCAGCATTCCCTTGACACGGCCCTTCGCAGAGTCCGCAGCGCCCCGGCAGTGGCGATAGCTGCCCGAGTGGCAGGGCAGACCCGCAACATTACTGTGGACCCCAGGCTGTTTAAAAAGCGGCGACTCCGTTCACCCCGTGTGCTGTTTAGCACTCAGCCCCCACCTGAAGCTGCAGACACTCAGGATCTGGACTTTGAGGTCGGTGGTGCTGCCCCCTTCAACAGGACTCACAGGAGCAAGCGGTCATCGTCCCACCCCATCTTCCACAGGGGCGAGTTCTCGGTGTGTGACAGTGTCAGCGTGTGGGTTGGGGATAAGACCACCGCCACAGACATCAAGGGCAAGGAGGTGATGGTGTTGGGAGAGGTGAACATTAACAACAGTGTATTCAAACAGTACTTTTTTGAGACCAAGTGCCGGGACCCAAATCCCGTTGACAGCGGGTGCCGGGGCATTGACTCAAAGCATTGGAACTCATATTGTACCACGACTCACACCTTTGTCAAGGCGCTGACCATGGATGGCAAGCAGGCTGCCTGGCGATTTATCCGGATCGACACGGCCTGTGTGTGTGTGCTCAGCAGGAAGGCTGTGAGAAGAGCCTGACCTGCCGACACGCTCCCTCCCCTGCCCTTTCCACACTCTCCTGGGCCCCTCCCTACCTCAACCTGTAAATTATTTTAAATTATAAGGACTGCATGGTAATTTATAGTTTATACAGTTTTAAAGAATCATTATTTATTAAATTTTTGGAAGCATCCTGTGTGCTGACACTGGTTATTTTTCCCAGTAAAATCATCTGCAAGTCTCAGGAAGATGCAGGGGGAATTGTCCGAATTGTCCAAAGTACTCCCTGGCTCCTTCTAAGGCCCACCTGTAACCCTTACCCCACCCCCAGCCAGTGCTGCAACTTCAGGAAAGGCTAACTGGTTTCAGATATTTTAGCCTAAGTTAGGCATGATTAGCAAAGGAAGCCTGGTGGATTGCAATTTTGTTCTACATTCCAGAGCCAAAGCTACCTAATCATTGGATTACCTGCCCACCGCCTGGAAGCATGGGCTCTGGTCTCCTCCCTTGGGGAAGTTAGTGGAGCCTCATCAGGAGGCAGATCACCACTGGGCACGGGGCTGCCCTGGCCTCAGAGGCACAGTCTCAGTCCTGGGGGCACTCGATAGACAGGGACGAGGCTTGCACCAAAGATCTGTGCGCTGCTCATTTGTAGGGGAAGATGTGCTGTCTGGAAGAGTTGTAACAGAGTAATCTCACGAGGCCTGTCAAAGTAGATCTGGTTTCATGTTCAGCTGGCCTTAGTACTCATGGCCACTCTTCGGTTTATCCCTCAGCAGCCTCCTGCAGAAAGACTTCATTACCCCAAGAAAACATTAGTGCCTCCGACACTCTTACAACCTACTAACAGCCACAGTAGCAACTTCCAGGGGCCCCAACATTGGCCCACAGCCAAGGAAGCCAGAGATGGGAAAGAACTTCTGAAAACTTTTTTATTCTTAATTGGATGGTTTCCATAAGTGACCAAAGGTGACTGGGGCCGTGAGACCTGCAGAGAAGAGGGTGGGGCAGAAAGACTAAGTAAATGGAGTGAGAACCAAATAAACCGGGAGATGTGGAGGACAGGTGGGCCGGCAGAGAACAACGGCTTTCTGCTTCTCCCCAACAGGGGAAATGAAACAAGGAGGACAAGGAGAAGGCCAGAGCGGGGTGTGAGGAAGGGGAGGGCAGGACAGAGCAGCAGGAGGAGGAAGGTGTGATCTCTCATCTTTACCAGCACTCTCCAGCCTCCAGGAAAGTTAGCAACCTGGGTGGTTCTCGTGGGGCTTTGTGAATGTGTTCATCAACACTGATTCCATCCACAGCATCTTAGACAGGAGTGAAGGTGACAGAGGGACTCCAGGGTTCGCTCCGCCTAGCCTCACACAACCCGCTTCCCCTGCAACTTTCATTTTGTATTTTCCCTGAAGCCACAATTTTGCCCCAGACAGAGCAGTTGTAGTAAGACAGACATTTTCCCCTCCTAGCCGTCCTGTCTCCCCCCGAGGATGAAATGCCTACACTGGTTTTCAAGAGAACAGGCCCAAATTGTCCATCCGAGAAAAGAGCAAATGGTCTTATTCATTCCCTCTGTAACTCTCGCTGTCCTGCCCCACCCCCAACCCCATCCAAATAGGGCAAATTAGAACCGTAGGGAGCTTTGGCATGAGAACCATTTGATTAGGGTCGAAGCATGATGAAATGTGCCCTGTTTTTTTCTGTCAAAGCTACTGCAGTTGGAATAAAGATTTATGTTCAAGAAACACCAGCTAGAACATTCTGTGCTGAGATTCTCGGTGAGATACAGGGCTCGCGAGGGAGCCCTCCCAGTGATCTACGTCTGTGACTTTTTACTGGGGTCCAATGCCAGTGGCCTCACCTATCCTAGGTGCCCCTACAAACAATTTCTGGGTGCCTTTCTTTCTCTTAGAACTGGACTTTGGACCTGGGATGTGGGGAGAGAGGAGTGGAGAGGGAGGCCTTCAGGAAGCTCCCCATCACGAAGGTGGGTTGTGAGCAGCTACACCAACAAAGAGGGTCCTGGAGTGCTGCCCGCAGCACTGTAAGACATTGGGACATCTAAAAAATGTCTTTGGCTCCCCTGGGCCGCCAAGAGGGGGGACCCTCTGAGGGAGCCCGGAGGCTGAGGCCCTCACTTCCATGTAGGTTGCTCTCCTGGGTGTCCGGTAAGAGGAGGGCCCCTCACCCCAGGAACACCACCACCTACCCAAAGGCAAAATCTGCTCTAGGCGGAAACGCTGGAGTCCCAGCCTGGGAGCCAATGTTTTCACACAATATAAGGGATATCAGTTTGGCTGATCGGTGTCGGAGCCTTCCAAAAACAACCCAGCGCCCGGTGGTTTCCGCAGCTTGGGCTCTGCTCCCACACGCGGGGGAGCTCTGGCTTTCAGACCCACCCGGGCTGTCCCAGAGAGGCTGACCCGGGTCGCCAGGGCCCCAGCCACTTGAACACTTGGAGAAAACAGCTTCAAACCGCCCACTATCCTCTGCTGAGGAGCGGCAGCGGCACATTTTGCAAAAGTTTCCTTCCCGTGCCTCACTGAGATTTTTCTGCCTTGGTTCCCCAAAAGCCCAAAAGGTGAGAGCAGATCCGTCTCCCCTCGGCAGCTTCCTTTGGTGGAAGGCATCCTCCACCATGCGCAAGAAAGCTAGCGCCCGCCCTGGCTGTCCGCCCTGCTAGCAAGGCTCAGGCCCCGGCCTGGGAGACCGCGGGGTGCCTGGCTCTGGGGTACACTCAGTTGTCCCTCTGACGCCCTCCCCCAACCAGAGCGCCAGCCTCCCCAGCCTGACCCCCTTCCCTGCTAATAGAAAGCCCACCATGGGGACAGAGTTTCAGCAACAACCCAGCAGCTATTTTCATTTCCGTGAAACAGCAGTGTTCCTCCTAAAAGCCTTACCACTTTCTCCTCAGCATCATCCACATCATGGGAGGAGGATCCGCCCAGAGCTGGAGTAGAGGACAAAAGGGCACCCGGGTCTCGTGTCTGCTCCGTGGAGGAGAGACAGCTGGGCAAGAGAAGCGGAACCGAGTGGAAGTGTGGGCTATGGAGAACCCAGGGGCCTGGGAGTCTTCCTTGCACAGGCCGGAAAGGAACAGTGGGAGGCAACGGGTGCTCAGAGTCGAGGTCACCAGCCAAACCCAGTGCCGAGGGAGCAGCCCAGTGTCATGGTACAAACTCTGGGCTTGGTGTCAGCAGAGCTGGGTTCTGGCCCCAGCTCCCCCATTTCTATCTGTGAAACTTTGGCAAGCAACAGTTCCTCTTTGAGCTCAGTTCTTGCAGCTGTGAAATGAAAATAATCATTCCTATATCCCAGAGTTGTGAGCAAGAAGCAAAACCAAGTACTTGAAAGCAAACAGTCAAGTCCTATACAAGTGTTAGGCAAAGTAATTTATTCCAAACTTAACAATTCCTGTGTTGATTATAGGAGAGAAGCAGCGATGTTGGTGCTCACTGAATATTTGTTTATTGGCACATGTATGGACTGGAGAAGGGAAACCCTCTGGTCAGTGGACATCACGGAATATAGATGTGGCATAGCCAGGCCATTATAGATAGATAGATAGATAGATAGATAGATAGATAGATAGATAGATA